AAAATATTTGCAAATTGCAAATTATAAACCTAATCAGGGACTTGTGTCCAGAATATGTAGGGAATCCTTAAAACTCAACAATAAAAAGACAAATGACCCAATTAAAAACTGGGCAAAGAATTTAAATAGACATTTTTCCAGACAATATACAAAAGATATACAGATGGCCAATAAGCACATGAAAAGATACTCAGCCTCATTAGTCATTATGGTAATACAAATCAAAACCACAATGAGATACCACTTCCTACCCACTAACATGGCTGTGATCAAAGACAATAACAAGTATTGCTGAGGATATGGACAAATCGAAACTCTCATACACTGCTGATGGGAATGTAAGATGGTAAGAATACTTTGGAAAAAAGTTTGGAATGTCTTTAAAAAGCTAAACAGTGTTACCATATGATCCAGCAATTCCACTCCTGGGCATGTATATACCTAAGAGAAATGAAAACACATCCACACAAAACTTTGCACAGGAATGTTATAGTGGCATTATTCGTAAAAGCCAAACAATGGAAACAACCCAAATATCTATCAAATGATGGATAAACAAAATGTTGTATAGACATACCTCATTTTATTGTGCTTCACTTTGCTGCACTTTGCAGACATTGTGTTTTTACAAATTGAAAGTTTACGATATTCCTACATCAAGCAAGACTATCCAGTGCCATTTTCCAACAGCACATGCTCATTTCACATCTCTGTGTCACAATTTGGTAATTCTCACAGTATTTCAAACTTTTGCATTATTATATCTGTTATGGTCTTCTGTGATCAGTGATCTTCGATGATACTATTGTATTAATAATTGTTTTAAGGCCAGGCGCAGCTGGTCCACCTGTCATCCTAGCACTCTGGGCGGCCAGAGTGCGAATTGCTCGAGGTCAGGGTTCGCACAGCCTGACAGAGCAAGACCTGTCTCTACTATAATACCGGAGAATTAATTGGCCAACTAATTCATATATAGGACAAAATTAGCCGGCTGTGGACATGCCTGTAGTCCAGTGTTGGAAGCTAGGCAGGGATTGTTTGAGCCAGGAGTGGGTTGCTGTGCAGCTAGGGCTGAACCCGGCACTACACTCTAGCCTGGGCAACAAGTGAGACTCTGTTCCAAATAACAATATAATAGTGATGATAATAGTATTGTTTTTCAGATCTCGCAACTTACAAAAATTTGTTTTGGCATCACAACATTACTATATAATGAACTTAGATCGATATGTGTGTTCTGGTTGCTCTACAACTGCCATTCCCATGCTTCTTCTCTCTCAGGCTCCAATTCTCGAATAACGTTTTGAAGTTAGGCATTGTAATCTACATGGATTAAATGTTCGTAGGAATATTGCCTTTCTCTAGATCAAAAGCTAGAATGATTAAGCTTGAGTGACGGCATGCAAAAGCAGATAGCCGAAGGTAGACTCTCTTGTGCCACAGTTACCAAGTTTTGATATGTGGAAGTTCTTAAGGAAATTAAGACTGCTACTCGTAACACAAATATACTGGAATGCTATTGCTGATACTGCGAGATGTCTTCATGTCTGGATCAAGCTACTCAGACATAATCTTAAGACACAAGCCTCATAGAGCGGCTTACTCTCTTCATTTATGAGGCAGGAGGTGTGGAAGCTGCGAAGAAATTTGGATAGCGAGTGGTTCTGGGTTAGGAAAAAGCATATATAATAATAAGAAGTGCAGGTGAGACAGCGGCAGCTATAGAAGCTGCAGCAAGTTATCTACAAGGTCTAGCTAAGATCATTGATGAAGATGGCTACACTAAACAACAGATTTTCAATGTAGACATAACAGACTTCTATTGGAAGAAGATGCCATCTTAGACTTTCATAGCTAGAGAGGAGAAGTCAATGGGTTCAAAGCTTAAAATGACAGGCTGACTCTTGTTAGGGGCTACTGTAGCTGATGACTTAACTGAAGCCAATGGACGTTGACCATTCCAAAAATCCTAAGGCCCTTCAGAATTTTGCTAAATCTACTCTGCCTGTGCTCTACAAATAGAACAACAAAGCCTATAAACAGACAGCACATCTGTTTATAACATAGTTTACTGACTATTTTAAGCCTACTGTTGAGACCTGCTGCCCAGATAAAAATATTCCTTTCAAAATGTTACTGTTCATTGATGATGCAACTAGTCACCCAAGAACTCTGATGGAAATGTTCAAGAAGATTGATATTTTCATGCCTACTGACACAACATCCATTCTGCAGCCCGTGGATCAAGGAGCTATTTCAACTTTCACGTCTTACTGCTTAAGAAATACTTTTCATAAGGCTATAGATGCCAGAGACAGTGATTCATCAGATAGATCTGGGCAAACCTAATTGAAAACCTGCTGGAAAGGAGTCAGCATTCTAAATGCCATTAAGAACTTTTGTGATTCATGGAGGAGGCTAAAATATGAACATTAACAGGAATTTGGTTGATTCCAGCCCTCATGGATGACTTTGAGTCTTGACTTCAATACTTCAGCAGAGGAAGTATACAGATGTGATGGAAATATGAAGAGAACTAGAATTAGAAGTGGAGCCTGGAGATGTGACTGAATTGCTGCAATCTCATAACATTTGAATGGATGAGGAGTTGCTTCTTGTAGATGAGCAAAGAATGTATTTTCTTGATATTTTCGTGGTGAAAATGCTGAATTGTTGAAATGACAACAAAGGATTTAGAATATTACATAAACTTAATTGATAAAGCAGCATCAGGGTTTGAGAGGATTGACTCCAATTTTGAAAGAAATTCTACTGTGGGTGAAATGCTATCAAACAGCATCTCACGCTACAGAGAAATTTTTTATGAGAGGAAGAGTCAGTTGATGCTACAAACTTCATAGTTACCTTGTTGCCACAGCCTCCTCCCAATCTTCAGCAACCACCACCCTGATCAGTCATCAGCCATCAACATTGAGGCCAGACCCTCTATCAGCAAAAAGATTAAGGCTCACTGAGGGCTCAAATGATCATTAGCATTTTTAGCAATAAAGTTTTAATTAAGATATGTACATTTTTGATGTAATGCTATTGCACACTTAATAGACTACTGTACAGCGTAAACATACCTCTTATATGCACTAGGAAACCAAAAAATCATGTGACTTGCTTTATTGTGATATTCACTTTGTCTCAGTGGTCTGGAACCAAACCTGCAATATCTCCAATTTTTTATACAATGAAATACTATTTGACAATAAAAGGAATGAAGGTCTGACACATGCTACAACATGGATAAATCTTGAAAACATTATGCTAACTAAAACAATCCAGTCACAAAGTACCACATAGCGTATGATCTCATTTATATAAAATGCCTAGAATAGGCAAGTCCATAGAGACAGAAAGAAGTTTAGGGACTTCCAAGGCCTGCAGGGAGGGGAGAATGGGGAGTGACTGCTAGTGGGTAAGGGTTTTTGTGGTGATGAAAATATCCTAAAATTATTGGTTGATAAGGTACTTCTGGGTGGTTAAAAAAAAAAAGAGAGAGAGAGAAATAAATTTAAAAATAAATAAAAGAAAATATCCTAAAATCAGATAATGGTGATAGTTGCACAGCTCTATAAATACACTAAAAATCACCAAATCATATAATTTAAGAGGTATTTCATGGTATGTGAATTGTGTCTCAATAAAGCTGTTATTTAAGAAGTTTCTCTCCCATAGGATTTCTCAGTGGGTAATAAATCCTCAAGATGGGGATATGATTTATGTTGAAAATACATGGTACAGCCTAAAGAGGGTGACTGTCCTGATTTGCCTGAGATGAGGGCCACATTCCCGAATGCAGAACTTTCAGTGCTAAAACCAGTGAAGTTCTTGGCAAACCATGCAATGTTTAGGATATACATATGCTAAAAAACTGTCAATGTTTATCTGAAATTTAACTAGGCATTTTTATATTTTTATTTGCTACATCGGGTAACCCTAGTTTTATAAGATGATGCAATTCACTCAGATCAAGTTGAAGCAGACAGCTAGAATTAAGACAAAAAGCAAAGAGGGACCAAAGGAGTTTGAAGGTAAGGAAAATAATTCCCAAAGCGTTTTCTAACCTTGGCCAAGACTATGACAAGGTGGTTTTGCCGAGGTCCCTTTTCAAAACATTCTGACTAACAATCTCTCATTTCTAAAATATATATCAAAAAGTTGATATTGGAGGACTCTTAAAAAATTAATATCAATAAATAGTTACATGAAATACTGTGTTTCTTAAAGGCATTTCATCTTGGATAAAGCTGAAATTAAGCTTCCTCCTGGCAGCTGAGTGCATGATGAATTGTATTATAAGTATGTCTATTTTTAGCCCACTAGTGCATTGGCAGACAGGCTGTTAAAAATAGAAGCAGGCCTAGTAGAGTACAGAAGCCCGGGGAGCTATTCCTTGCTGATTAATGAAAATGAAGCCGGTTCTCTGAGCCTAAATGGTTGGAGGGAACGGTAGGTGCAGCTGTGATCAGGTTACAAGGCAGTGGCTTGTAATTTAGAAAGTAGCGTGTAATGTGTCACTGAGGGATATAGCTCCAATGGGAGTTTCCTGGAATTGCTCCGATAATGGGAGTAAAGGGTTCGTGTGTCTGATCAGGTGTAGTATTTTAAGAATCTTTCCTAAGTCCCTCCCAGGGAGCTGTCACTCAATTCATAGTTCTCTCCGTGACTTCTCAGCACCCCAGGTTCGCAGCCACCAGGGGGCACCAAAGCAGCCCATCCTGGAGGAAAGCGCGAGCCTCCCCCGTCACTGAAATTCCCTGCGGAGCGCGCAGGCGATCAGTCATGGACCGCCCGCTGGGCCTCCGTGCCCTGGCCGTGGGGTTTCCGCAGCGCAGCACTGTAGTCGGCCGTGTGGACTTGGAGTCGCCCAGACCAGGGGTCCAGGCCTAGCCCTGCCACTTAAACCCTTTAATCCCCAAACAGGAATAACAAAAGGTGGTAAGAATTAAATGAGATAGGGCCCGGAAAGTGCTCAGTACCTAACAGCGTACCAGATGTGTGGTAAGTGCTCAGTTCCTCGGTCCACCCAGCAGTCTGGAGTTCCGGTGCTAACAGTACAGAGAAGGCGTCAGCTTCCCTTCCTTTCTATTCTGTTACTTTCGCTTTTTGTTTTTGAGACATAGCCTCACTCCGTCACACTGGGTACAGTGCAGTGGTGTCATCATAGCTCACTGCAACCTCAAACTCCTGGGCTCAAGCCATCCTCCTGCCTCAGCCTCCCTAGTAGCTGGCACTATAAGGTGTGCGCCACTACGCCTAGCTAATTTTTCTATGTTTTGTAGAGATGGGGGTCTAGCTCTGGCTTAGGCTGGTCTCGAACTACTGGCCTCCTAGATTACTAGGATTACAAGCGTGAGCCACCACGTCGGCCCCTTTCTATTATGGGCTTTCTTACTCCCTTCCTATCTCTTTCCACAGGGACACTCTGACACCCATTTTGTTCTCTGTTAGTTCAAAGGTCTTCATTTTGACAGCTCCCCACGCATGTCCTCCTCAGATATGTCCTGTGACCCCCAAAGTCCTGTCCAATGCTCTCTACCTCAGTATTTCCTAGGGTGATTCACAAGCCACCTGCATCAAATCATCTGGACCCCCCAAGTTGAAATTTCTGGGGATGGAACCTAGGAATCTGCATTTTAATGAGCTATCTCAGTGAATCTTATGGATAATAAAGCTGGAGAATCTCTGCCATATTCTTAGTGAGTCTGTTTTAAATAGAAAGAGCATATAGTACAGGCTGATCTCAACCAGCTGTTAGGAGGGAAATTAGCTGATTATCTGATTAAAGTAATTCACACTGAACTGTGAAGAACAAATAAACTCTCTTTTCAGGAGAATTTGCATTCTGACATTCTGCAAACCTTAATAAATTTCCAATTAGCAAAATGTGTGGCATGGATATTTAAAGAAAAACGACCTCACCAGTGACCCAAGCCTCAAGAGACACCTTTATCTGCAGGTGAAAAGCAAGGGGTCTGTACTTAGCAGCCCATTCCTCCTACCCTAGAGCCACCTGAAATTCAGCCCCAAGGATGCCCACTGGTGGAGAGGAGGAGAAAGGGTAGAGAGGGAGGCGAAAGAGGAGGGGAAGGAGAACCCCCTCAAATATCCCACCTCCACAGAACTCAGTGCTAAAGGCTTGTGTAGATGCAGCATGGGCTGATGAAAACCTGACCCAGTCACTGTCCACTCCACCCCAGGGAAGATCACAAGTGAGACTTCAAGTTTATTTGTATTTAGGTAATTTTTTTAACATGGAGCTGCCCAGTTGATAGAGGAGTGGTAGTAGCCCCCTTGCTCCTCTTTGGGGCTCCCAGAGTTTCTTCCTCCCTCCCAAGGTGGGTTGGCATAGGTCCCAGTCCTTGGGCTTTCCCCTTGATCTTTCTACAGTGCCTCTGTGAATCCTCCCAATCTGGTGGTTTTAAATACCCATCTATACAATAATCGGATGACTCCCAAATATGTATCTCCAGTCCCAGTCTCTCCGTTGAATTCCAGATCTTTAAGTGTCTAACAGCCTATTCTCTATCTCCACCTGGATATCTGATTTTTCCCCAAAAATTTTCTCCCTCAACGTTCCCCATCCCAGTAAATAGCACCCCCTCACCCAAATGAACCAAAACTTTGGGAGTCATCATGAGTTTTTTCTCTCTCTCTCCCTCCCCCTTCCTCCTCTCCCTCTCCCTCCCCCATCCCCCTCTCCCCCCACCCCATGCAGGCACGCATGCATGCACGCATGCACACACACACACACATCCCTCATCCACAGTGATCAAATCATACTGACTCTGCCTTAAAAAAATGCATCTGGAATCTGAGCCCTCTCCCACCTCCACCACTCCCAGCCTGGTCCAAACCAGCATCATGTCCCATCCAGACCACTTTATTGCCTCCTAACTTCCCCCCTGCTTCCACACTCACTCACTCACAGCCTTTAACAACATAATTCTCATCACCTCCTTCCCCTTTCTCCATCCTTCAATGACTTCCCATTGCATTAAGAATAAATTCAAAATGCCTTTCCATGGCCCAGGAGTCCTGCACCTAGATGGCCCATCTCCTGTCTCCAGCTCTGCTGACTTCTTGGCTGATGCCTCACCTGGAAGGTGCACATGCCCTAGATAACCTCTCCCTCACTTCATTCAGGGAAACTATCCCCAACCACCTGCTCCAAAATAGCAGCTGTCCTCTTACCCCAATTTTTTTTCACAGCATTTAAAACTACCAGATGTATTACCTGTGTATTTGTTTATTATGTATCTCTCCATTTCAATGTGAGTTCTGTGAGAGCTGGGACTTACTGTCTTTTGTCCACCCCCATACCCCACACCCAGAAGAGTGCCTGGACATCATATGGGCTCAATTAATATTTGTTGGTTGAAGGAGGAAGGAAAACTAGGAAAATTGCAAATGTAAGTAAGGATGGCTACTGAATGGTGGCTCAAAAGTTGCATCTAAGGTTTTATTTATTAGGAGAGTTGGAAGAAAGAATGAAGCTACTGGTTCCTCTCTATGCTTTCCCTGTGTTGTTTTATAAGGGTTGCTCAAAGATAAGACATGTCCCTATTTCATTCCAATAAAGGGTCATTTCTGAAGTTCAGGACCTGTTCTTTTCACACATTAAGAGAAAACTCTGGGGGGAGGGGGGGAAATGGGCATTTATTGAAACCTTAAAATCTGTACCCCCATAATATGCCAAAATAAAAAAAAATTAAAAAATAAAAAAAAGAGAAAACTCTTCTGTATTGTACATTCTAAGTGCTCAAAAATTATGCATTTACGATGACCAAATCACAAACTCAGATTTTACCCATTTGCTATACATAAAACAGAGCTAATGAGATTAGGCAATAGGAAGCTTTTCTATTGTGAAATGATATTAATGGAGTCTCCCGTGGGCTAAGCTGCTCTCCCTAAAAGTTAAGCACATTCCAGAAATCACATTAAAACTCTCTCAGGGCTCCCTGGATCTCCAGGGTCAGGGGAAGGGAAGGAAGGCTGATGTGGCTTCACAAAGCAGCCCACTTGCTCTCGACATTTAACTGTGGATTTCAGAGAATCTGCTTTGTAATTTTCATCCCGTGTCTGAAAGGGAAAAAAAAATCCATAGTGTTTTTCTCTTTTCATGCCAAAGCTCGTTATGTGGGCCGCCATTGCCCCATAAATGCCACCCACGATAATGGGCATTAGCGCCCACCAGGGGCACGTCAGCGTTAGCTCCACAGTGCGTAGCCAAGGGCTAAACAATTCCTGTATAGGAAATTACTGAAGGGAAAGGGAAATAACTGTCTACTATATGAGAATATTATCTTAGCATGGGTTCCCCCATAGGCAGACCCTGCAACAAAGACTTAAGTGTAAGTCATTTGTTTAGGAAGAGATTCCAGAGAACACAGGTAGGGGATGAAAAAGTGAGACAGGAAGAGGAAGGCGGCCAGTAAAGGGAGTGTCATCAAGCAAGTCACCGATGGGATGACTGGAGTGTAATCCCACTGCAGAACTCTGAGAGTCCAGGGGCAAGGGGGGTGGTATTTATACATCAATTACTAATCATTGAGGACTGCAGGGAATGTTGATTCTCTGCCTGCCATCCTGCCCCATGGGTAAGTAGAGGGGTCTCTGGGGCCAGAGGAAGTTCTCTGGCAAAAAGACGCAGAGGCTGGCAGTTGAACATTGGCCCAGTGGGTACTGAACTGGGAAAGCCCAAACAGAAAGGGCAGAGAACCGACAGCCTCTGCCACAAGTACTGGCTTTTCCAAAAAGCATTTTCTGAGAATGGAAATAAAGTCATCTTATATACGAGCAAAGTTTAACAGGAAAACTCTGACATGATTTCAGTGAGAACTGAAATCTTGGAAATATGTTTGGAAGCAGGTAGGTCATCTTGGTTCAAGTTCAGTGGACTAGATCAATTGGAGGGGTTTTCAGAGCTGGTTTGGGTTTAGTTTGTGACAATTGTCAACAGCTCGAGAGTCGCAATAAGTGACAAAGAGCGGGTTTGGTGTATCTGACTGGAGACAGCAGCCCTTCCTGCCTTCCCTTCTGGAAGCTGGCACTTCCTCCTGGTGGGGGATGACCCTTATTTATAGAGCCACTCTGTCCACTCTTTCAAGACCCAAACCTCAGATGCGTGTATACACATATCCGTGCTCACTTGGGGGACCATGATGTTAGAGACACGGCATTGATGAACTCATTTTCATGTTCCGTCATATTTTTAAGACACCCCTTCAAACAGTAAACAATCTAATTATGTAAAAATATGTAATTATGTAAAAATATATAATAGATACACACAGAATGCCTGGCTAATGTTGACATGTAGGGGCTGAAAATCAGCAGCTAATTGGTTGCATGTCCTTTCAAACTGACCATCAGTCCCTCCCAGTCAGTGGATTCTGAACACTTGCCTGGCGAAAGCGTCTTTGCCCAAAGCCAAGGTAAACCACCAATGGGAAGGAAACGATTTCAGGCCAGAGACCACAGTAGAAATGGCAGAGAAGCCAGGTTCTCCGAAAACCTTCCGTAGATGGCCTGCTGGGGGTCAAGCTGGCATGCCGGGTTTAGGTGGACGGTGAGGACCACCTTTGCGCTTTGTCCATTTGTGTGGTTCTTACCTGAAATAGAGATTGAGGTGGCTCCCAGGAAGGTGCTAGCAGGGGACTAGGCCTGTGGGGTGCTGCTGGTACTTTTCTGCCTCACAGGCTGATGAGGACAGACACATGGCAGTGTGAAGCCCACCAGCAGTGTCCCCATCTCCCCCACTTTGTGCTGCCACAGAGTAGTTGGTCACTGAAGGGTTCATGTTTGTTTAAATCTCCCATAGTAGATTATAGATGCCACTGTTGCAGCCATGAGAACAAACCTATGGAGCCTTTTTGCAGATTTGAGTGCCTTACATACTTGCACCCCAACTTTCCTCTCATATCAGAGACATCAATTGCCAAATTAAAGGTCTATTTTGAATGGTTCTTGTCTTAGTCCATTTTGCATTGATATAACAGAGTATCACAAAAAATTGATTTCTTAGGATTCTGGAGGCTGGGAAGTCCAAGGTTGAGGGGCCTGCATCTGGTGAGGGCCTTCTTGCTGCTTCATAACATGTCAAAGGGCAAGAAACATGCCA